TTTGCACTTGTGTACCCTTCCCTGCAAAACAAATCATGCTACATGTACCCTTAAAAATCTGCAATGTTTCAGCAAACTAAGTCTTTTATATCAAGTCTGTCTATTTGGTTTTCGAAGAACAACTAATACGACATCGTTTGTAGCATACCCTTTTAAGTATAATTTTATGCCCGTTGGCTACTTAAAAGACAAAGAATAGGGTTTTGTTTTTCAAATTTTTGACCGTTCGCAATCTGAACAAGGGGAGAACTTGCGATTCTCAATCTGGGTTGGAGATTTTCTTCCCACCCCTGCATAATTGAAGGTGTATGTATCAAATTAGTAAATTATATCTCTATTTAAACATCATAATTTTGATTTTGAATACATTGCTTCCGTGCAGTTGGTTATGATGTTTGTAGATTGAGATAATTTTGGTTTATTAATCCTCCTTGTATTATTAGCATAATGAATAAACTTGTATTTTGATATGCTAATTGTGTTATTAAGAACCATTGAACAAAGATCATGTTATCTGCATATTGAGATTATATGATTATTATGGTTCTTCATGTTGACGTTAACTTGTTCATCAATCTATTGTTGCAATGGTACGAGGTCCATGGGAATTGGGAATGATGGCAATCCGTATGGATGGGTCTTGAGCATTGATGGATAATTTGTTTCGTTGATTTGGAGCCGAGGAATTGCAATCGGGTTGTCGAATACGGGTCCAATGATGCATTCAGATACAAATCTGCTAGGGAATTTGCAAAGCTTGGGGGTTTGGATTAAAGAACTTGACGAGATAATGAAGCAAGGGTTTATTTCAAAACAGCGTCTCAGTGCTTCCAGAAGGCACTAAATGAGGAGCCGGGAAAGTATATGTATCGCAAATCTTTCGAAGTGGCCGCTAAGGTGCACTGCTCTCTAACTTGACCTCCTAATAATGCTTGGTTTTGTTGCTGAAATTCTGTGTTGGTATCCATTTTGCGGTAGCAAGACGTGTAATTATTTTTCTGGCTTCATGATTCTCATGTAATCATAAAAAATGGTTTTGTTTTGCTTTCATGGGAAAACATGAAGATAAGTTTTCCTAGCCATGTCGTGATAATGATTAATTGAGAAGCAACAAAATAAATGCATATATATAGTGGATGTCAATTGCTTTGTGATTTATACATAATAGCATATTTGAATGAAATCTGTATATATATCGAGATAGCATTCGTGCATAGACTTTGTAATTATGGGCATGCGGTTTTATCTATATCAAATAGAACTTGCATAAGTTTCTCTGAATATTGATGCATACATGCATACAAGAAAATATATGAACAGATGAATATATAAGGTAGATGTTTTATTGACCGGCCATAATGAGTCTCGTGACAATAAACTTTTAGCCATTTACAAAATATATATTCTATTATGAATCGGAAAGCAAATAATTATTTTGTCATCTTATTGGAAATTCATAAGATTAATGATATGTAGCTATCATTATTTTCTCCAAGGACTTGCGTACGAATCTGTATATAATTGATGATGGTGTTGACAATGAATTAAAGGCATGAAGATTTTAATTTGGATTATTGTCGACTAATCTTATCATGTATATATCGATGCATGCTTATTGTATATGTATATTTGTGATTTCATGATGCATGCTTCCGCTATTATATTTTGGTTGAAATCACAAATAGGGAGGAAGACGAACTTCGAGTTCTCCAGAAGAAATACTGGTCTTGATTATCTCGTTTTAATTAAGATATATTGTTGTGATATATATCCAAACATTATCAAATTTTGGTTGATCTTTCTCGATGGATATTGAACTAGTTAAGATCAAATTGAATGCAAAAATATTGTGTTTGCTATTCTAATTTTGATCATTGTTGAAACTGGTGATTTTGGGTTTATGTGAGATAAGTTTTTCCGAATGGATTGTGACTATCTTTTGATACATAGACTGTTTTGCATAATGGTTTAGGTTTATATGACTAAACTGAGATTATGAAATAGGTAAGGAATCGGGAACCAATTGGTTCATATCTCCGATTTCTTTATCGACTGTGCAGTATATTCTGCTTATGCTTTAAGTGGGAGAATCATATGTTCGAATGTAAGCATAAGGCTAAGAGTATTTAGGCCGGCCATTATAATTCATATGGATGCTTAAAAACCAGTTTATGGTTTTATTGAAGCAATTGGTTGAATTATTTGTGTTACTTAATTTGTTTAAGTAATGAGAAGGATCATATTATGTTAGCATTCAAAAAAGAAACGAATTTGGTTTCCATATGGATTCTGATTAGTCATTCGTTGTATTGAATGATTTTAGTTAATATAGTTGCTATTAACTTGTACTTAACTTGGTTGTGTTGAGTATGGCCTAGATAAGTGGGAGCAAATTGGTTTGGTTTTGTTATATTGGTTCACATAATTACAAAGTGCAAATTAAGTATGTTGTGACTTTTGAGTTAATTCTGCGATGTAACAGAAAAGATTCTTAAGTTCAATACTTTAAAAATGCATAGGTAAGTTGTATGTGAGGTTAAACTTTTGTTATCCAAAAGATTTGGTGGCTATATGAGTGGGAGTAGACGTCTTGGTTTACTTTTGAGCTTAGATACATTGTTATGAACATGAATTGGACATTGTGATTTATAAGTTAAATCTGTATTTTGTGTTGCAGAGGTAATTATAAATTCATTGTTTTGTTTATGTAAGCTGGTTGTATCTATGTACTAGTGTGTTGATGAATGACTTGTGCGATCACCTTTATATTGAATTTGAGATGATTATTTACTGTTGTGAATCATACTCAAGTGGGAGAATGTTAAGAGTATGAGTGTGATTCTCACAGTTTAGTAATAATCATTGTTATTTCAGATTGGTATAAAGAGGTCTTAATGAGTTTATAAGAGTTAATTCAACTTTGGTTTGGATTGAAACTCTACCGTTGGCTCGAAAATAGAACTCATACTTATACAAGGATTTAGTCTTGTATTCCTTGTAGGATTGTAATAGGGCAATCTATGTTTAGTATAAAAACATAAGCCACTGCTCTCACAAAACATACGCTCAATATTAAACTAAGACCTATTATTAGTTTGAGTACTTTTGGTTTTGCAAGAGAGGAGAAGGCGCACTGTTTAGAAGTCGGCTTTGACTTCTTCTACTACTATTTTTTACAAGTTAGTTTGTCATTGTGTTTATCGAATTGTGATTTTAATACTTGTATAAAATTTGTGGTTCTTGAGCTTAATCTCTTAACTTATATTTTTGATAAGTTTAGTCTTTCACAGCAACCACAACAATAAAAAGTAGAGAGCATGGGGATTGAAAGAGTATTGTTTCAACTTTGCCTTCCACTTGTGCGGTAGGCATTGATGTCCTTACTAGGATCAGTAAAAGAGATTTCTTCGGAACAGTTACTTCCTCGGGTTAATAAGGTTTGTTAACCTCGTCCCTGTCAAGCTTTGAGTTTCAACAATTACATTTTTGAACTAGCAATTCCATATCCTTGTAAGTGATGCTTAAAGCAACATTTTAATGGAAATGTTCACTTGGTGTGGACAAAAAAACAATCAACATGATACAGTTTCTCTTCTTTTTGTTCAAACATAAAAAGACATAAGCATAGGTCGATGAACATCAAATTGGTACAACATAAGAAGCTACATACGCATTAATTTAGGAAAGTGATTTTCGCACAATTGGTTGCATCTAAGGCCAAAAAATATAGAAGTGCAGAGAAGAAAAGGGTTTGTGGGAATCACTTCTCTTTATTTACAACACACACTTCAACAAAGCCATTACAAGTAGACACTGCTTCCCTATCAAATATAAAATCACTCTTCAATACTTTATTTTGTTGGAACATCTATTATGCTCACTTGAAGGAAACCTGAGATTGAAATGCAAACTCAGTACTCTCTCAAAGACTAGGCTAGACTTCCAAGTATATGGCAAGGGAGAGCCTAGCGGTCGTTGATGCTTAAGGGACAGATTTAAAAAGAGCGGGACAGATTTGTAAGAGCACGCTGTTTGTATGACAGTGAGTATGAGGAGAATAACAGCAGCAACAACAGAAATACTGGCCCAAGGCGTGTTAAAAATAATTTTGTTTTCAAAATTACCATCCATCCGTGCCAGAGCTTTTCGCGGTAATCTTTCAGCTCTTTACAAAGAGGGGCATAGTAGTGGTGGTCAACCATCATCCCGGTGCCAAGGTCATGAAGCAAAGTAGATATCTTATGGGTATCACCTAGCCAATTATCAATGATTTCCTTATCAACAAGCAATTGCACATCCTCAGGGGTTTTCACGAGACGCTTCATAAGGAAAACATAATTAGCTAGGTAATCCTCCTCTCTGCGATGGCATTGTTCAAAAGCAAGGAGATTTCTGAGTGTCAGCTCTGTGGTATCGTCCACTGTTAACTTTGGAATTTCGAGGATCCCATGCGAGAATTTTATGTCAAATAAGCTGCTGCCTTTTCCTTCCTTAAACTTGACTCCAGCCTGGTGTAGCTCTGTCACGTTGGGTGTGTCTGTGACTGTGATGTTAGCTCTAGTTTTTGATTTCAACTGTCCGTATAGAATTCTTATCAGATCAACAAAATGTTGTACATCTCCATTAGAAATATTTTTAAAATTCTCTTCTTTTCCCTTGCTATCAATTTCGCCTTTGAAAAATTTGTGGGAAATATCAAGTAACGAAAGAGAAGAAGAAGAAAAAAATCTGAAAAGATCCTGAAGAATGAAGAATGGCAGCTGATTTTCAATCAACCGCAAGTCTGGACGCACATCCCACAACATCCTAGGGTTGTTAAATATGTAATCATCTTCACCTCCATATTTTTTGTCATAGTACCTCAATAAGAGCTCAATGACAAAGGCGGCATCCACTAAAACAATTCTTACAAATTCATCACTGCCAAACTCAACGGATTCTGCATAAAAACCTCGCAACCTTCCCCTCTTGGTTCTTTATCATTTGTATATAATCACAAAAAGCTTACCCCGGTTCGATCTAGAAAACTTCGCAGGTACCTTAATTTTGTGCTCTTCCATGCCTTTTAAGGGTTCCTCGCCATGGTGAAGTGGGCCTATAGAGACTACTTGAGGTGTATATGCCTTCTCATTTCCTTGCCGTAGTCGCTTAGGAACTCTATAGATACACCGCCAGGAAGACAGGGGATTCAAGCTCCGCAACTCCTTGAGGACTGGATCCTTTTCGTTTTCTATGTAGTGTGGAGCTTCAGTGATTCCTTTCATTTCACCGCCTGAGATCCTTAACTGCATTGATTCAAATATTTTTTTTTTCCAACATTGATTCAAATATTTCATTAGGCACACATTCTACTAAGATACTTCGAGCTCAACTTTGTAAGAAACCCAAAAAAAAAAAAAAAAAAAAAACCGCCAGATGCCGTCGGAGTTCTTGTAGAGTGTTGCCACTAAATATTTCATATGAACCCTGCCGAGCCATGGAAAAGTAGGAAAGAGAATCGAACTCAAAATCTTGTGAGAATGAGAGCGTGAGATTTTTTTTTTTTTTTTTTAAATTGTCAATAACAGTATCTCTCATCCAATTTTTCTTTTTTAAATGAAGTGAAATCGCATTTGCTTTGTATACAGGAAAACAAGCAAGTTTATATGGTTAATTTGCCTCTTGTAGATAACTAAGAAATCTTATTACTTATTACTAGCTCTCCTTTGGTATATGAAAATTAAATTTTCTTTTAACAATACCATTTCTTCTTCAATATGTTTTTGCTGAAGGTCTTTTTTTTTATAACTAATGGTATTATTTACACTAAGAGAAAGAGGGTAAGTTTAGCCTTACAATGAGTTAGCAATAATATGGTTCAAATTCGCCTTTGACGAGAATCGAACTTAAAACCTTTCACTTACAAGTGAAGAAGAATATTACTATATCGTAGTACTAAATCCCTGCTAAAGGTGTTTAATTGGCCAAATTAATTAATGTCATGACTCATGTAGCTACCCACCCTTATCTTTCCTTAACTATAAACATAAGTGGTTGATGCTACTTCTCCAATTAATATAGTGAGTCTGACAAAAATTTGTGTTTTACCGTCTAAGAGATGAGAATCACTTACACGAACTTCTTCACCTTCAATTTCAGCGTCACTTTCGGCTGGCATCACTGGTATTACCAACTCATTTCGGCTGGCATCACTGGTATTACCAAACTCATTGGCTCCTCTACAGGGCCCGAAGCCTACAACAAACAATAATACCATAAGTTTGACACCATTCATATATTTCGCCTAAGTGGTTAATTGAAGACAATACCAGTGCATGGTTGTATTTGACAGCAGACACTTACACAACCAAAACATATGCATATACACAACCAAACTATTCAATTAAAAGATATTGAGCAGAAAGCTGCAGCATTCCCTTAACCGATAAGTATAAAACTAATGGCTTGTTTACTAATACATAATCATAACGAGAAAATTTGAATTGAGGAGTTGGAATAGGGTAGAGTTAGAATCGAATTTCTATTAAAATTATCTACTAAAATTTCCTAAAATTAGAATAGGAATCTTATTTATCCATAAAGTTGTTTATTGAAATATATGAGTCAGAATGAAAATTAATGTGATTACTAAAATGTTCCTATTGCAATAATTTACTTTTTTATTTTAGTATAAATTTTATTTTTTATTTTGTACTGTTCATAATTTTTTTCCACTCCCACAGTTCCATTTTCCCCCTCTTGGTATGTGATACTCTTTCTTTTTCATCCTAAATTATTTGCAAATGGTCTTCTATAATGATAGAGAGGAGTGTTGTCCTCGCACCACGACATTATTCGAAACCGTCGCCTTTCTAATCTAACCTCTAATTTATCGTTTGACAAAAAAAAAAAAAAAACTTTTTTCATTTCTTCTCTCCATCTTCTTCCTGAACCCCCTTCCTCCGTAAATCTCTTCTTTCTCATCCCCAATTATTTTTTCTTTTCTTTTCTCCATCTTCTTCCCCGTCATCCTTGCTCCCTGATACTCTTCTTCCCATCCCCCAATTCTTTCAGCTTCACCATCTTTTTACTTTTCTTTTCTCCATCTCTTCCCAGACGATTCAATGCGCACTGAACGAGTTCCAAATCCGGTCGTCGCCAACGACAACCTATTCTTCACCAACTACATCTTCGAAACCCATCCTTTCAAAATCATCCTGAACCCGGGCAGCTTGAGCCCCGTCATCGCCGATGGACGGGATTGAGCTGGAGTCGGCAGACTCGGTTGAAAGGTAGAAGGACAGGGGTAGTTTGGGTAGAAAAGTTGGGTTCCTGATGGAGAGGAGACAAGCCAGATGTTATTGGTACGAACAAGTTGGATTCCTGATGGAAAAGTTGGTCTTCGTATTCCATTCCGGTTTCGTACACACGCCCTAAAAGTTTCAAAACAATGAATATGTGCAAGCATAGCAATGGAGAAGAAACAAGCCAGATGAAAGGAAAAAGAACAAAAAAAAAACAAAGATTATAAATTGAAAAGTGAGTTGTTATTGGGACTAACAATGTCGTCTAACACGGTTTGAAGTGAAATTTATTCCTTTGAGAATAAGTGTGTGATAACTTTTTAAAATCTAAATAACAAGTATTTCTCATCGTAAATGAAGAAAAAAAATGAAGTGAACTCACACTTGCTTTGTGTACAGGAAAACAAGTAAATTTGTACGGTCAATTAGCCTTCTTGTAGATATATAAGAAAACTCAATATTCTTTTAACAATAGCACAATGATAGGCTGGCTATATATAAGCATTTCTTCTTCAATATGTTTAATGGGATATATTAAATTATGGGGCTACCCACCCTTGTCCTTAACTCTTTTTACAATAGCACAATGATCCCTCCGGATCCATTACGTGAGAATCCTAGAATCATCACATTTCAGCTGTTTATCATGTACCGTACGATCAGTTTTCGTCAAGTATTACTTATGTTTAATTTAAAATAATAAAAGTCAAATGATTTCTGACCATACGATACACGATAAACGGCTGAAATGTGAGGATCTCTAAAATCCCCACATAATAGATTCGGAAGGGATCCTTTTCCCACAATGATAGGCTGGCTGTATATAAGCATTTTTTCTTCTCTTTGTTTCATGGGCTATATTAAATTATGGGGCTACCCACCCCTTAACTCTTTTTAACAATAGCACAATGATCCCTCCGGATCCATTAGGTGGGAATCCTAGGATCATCACATTTCAACCGTTCATTGTGTACTGTACGATTAGTTTTCGTCAAGTATTACTTATGTTTAATTTAAAATAATAAAAATCAAATGATTTCTGACTGTATAATACACGGGATTATAAAGACTGAGATGTGAAGATCTCTATAATCCCTACATGGATTCCGAGGGGATCCTTTTCTCACAATGATAGGCTGGCTGCATATAAGCATTTCTTCTTCACTTTGTTTAATGGGCTTTATTAAAGGGAACTTTAACGAAAAGCACCCGGTACTGTTCACTTTAACGAAAAATCACATTTTTACACTAAAAAGTCAATCCTGGTACTATTCATTTTACACTTTATTTTGTTCTTATCATTAAAACTCAAAATTTTCAAGCTCTTTTCATTAGTTTTCCTTTTATTAAATTATGGGGCTACCCACTCTTGTCCTTTAACTCTTTTAACAATAGCACGATGATAGGCTGGCTATATATAAGCATTTCTTCTTCAATATGTTTAATGGGCTATATTAAATTATGGGGCTACCCACTCTTGTCCTTAACTTTTTTCTTTCTGGTAAAAGTGATATCCATTAGCCACTCAGTTGTATTCTTTTTCACTTAAAAGTGGGATGAGAGATTTTAGGTTCGAAACTCATAGATGATGAATTCGATATCAAATTAGACTGTTTATTATGTAGCATTTCCAAACTCCCTCTCCCCCTTCGTATAAAAATATTGATGTACTAAAATAAATCCATTAAACACCCAGAACGGGCCACAAGAACAAACAAGCAGAAAGGCAGGAAAAGTAAAAAAAATGAAGATGATGTCGATTCAAACTAAACAACTGAATAATCATCCTAGAAATATAGACAAAACACCGCCATCAACGCTAAAAGGTCAAACAAAAGAAGGGAGGCTGGGTGCCAAAAACACTACCAGACCTCAATATGAACATGTTTAATGGGCCATATTAAATTAACGTTGTGATTCATGTGGCTACCTGCCCTTATCTTTCGTCGATTACAAACAAAAGAGATTAATATTAATATTAATAGGCCAATATTAAATTAACGTTGTGATTCATGTGGCTACCTACCCTTGTCTTTCATTGACTATAAACAAAAGTGATTGATACTAATGAGCCATATTAAATTAAGGTCGTGATTCAAGTGGCTACCTATCCTTATCTTCCTTGACTATAAACAAAAGTGATTGATACTAATGAGCCATATTAAATTAACGTCGTGATTCAAGTGGCTACCTATCCTTATCTTCCTTGACTATAAACAAAAGTGATTGATACTAGCTCTCCAATTAGGGATGGCCAAATACTCATTGGTTATGGGTAACCGCGATTATCCGTCTATTTAAATTTGACGGTTACGGTTATGAGTAACCGTTTAGATAAATAAACGGTTATGGGTATAACCGTTTACCCATGAAATTTAAATGGATGGTTATAGGTATTACCCGTGGTTATAAACGGGTACCTATTTAACCGTTTATTTTAATATATGTAAAACTAAAATAAATAAATAAAGTTTCTAGCTAAGTTTAGTATCCCGAGACATATTTGGTTATAAAGGGCCATATAATATATATATATATGCCTCACTTGAGAGAAAAATATAGTTGATAGAACAGGCCAATGTTTAAAATATGTGATTGAATGTGCTACAACATTAGAGTGTTTGACACTTTTGTTTTGGAGTCTTTTGAAGCTTTGGCCAATTCAAGATAATGTTTACCATGAGATTTTAGAAATATATTATTATCGGTTGATGAGTACCTATATATATATATATATATATATATATATATATATATAATTGGCCTCGAGTTTTTAATAAATATTTGATCCAAAAATTAGAAATCGATTAAATGGCTTGGATCGATGAACATATGTTTCTAAATAAAAATCCAAACATTTATCAAATAAGCTTATTAGCAAACTGATGCGTACTTACAGATACATATATATATATATATGTATGTATACAAGAATATTAATTAACCTACAACCATGTATGATTCTTGTAATAGATTGACCGTCAAATAATTGGGAGACATCACACATATTCATAAATAATATTGCCGTTAATACAAAAATACATGTTAAATGTACTTATAACGGTATTTAATTGTTAGAAAAAGAAAATTATGATAAATTTCTTTTAATTTTCAAGTTGTTAAAAAAATAGGTAGACGAGTAAAAAAAAAAGAAAAAAAAAGGGGTTAAAAATGGGTAAACAAGTACACGGTTATGGTTAAACGGGTATGCGGTTATGGGTAAATGGGTATGGTTAACCGTTTATAAACGGTTATGGGTATGAATATACCTGTTTATGTAAATACCCAACGGGTAAATGGTTATGCGGGTAAAAGCTTAAACGGTTATGGGTAAATAACCGCGGCTACTAGCCCGCCATAACCGTTGCCCATCCCTATCTCCAATTAATGTAGTGAGTCTGGCAAAATGTTGATTTGGAAGAGTCTCGATTGTGCTAGCCAAATTTATCTTGCTTACTATGCTCGATTAATTTAGCTTTTTCGTAAATGATAATTTTAATGAGAGAAAAGTTTAAATGACTCAAACTATAGATGAAGAAAAAAATCTCTCACTTATTGTGCAATCTGCTAGATGGGCTGAAGCTAGTTTGAGATTGTTATGGCGTTTTAAAACTGCTTATATTGTGCTATAAAAAAAACTGTGAAAAAAAAAAACAGATAAATGTTTGATAAACTATAGTACTAAAAATGCTTCAGTAAAAAAAAAGAGGAGGGTAGGATTGTCAATATGACAATTTTATTAATTGAAATTGTTGACTTGCCTCTTATAAAAAAATGTTTTTTTAGAAGCAAGAGTAGAGCTGCTTTTGCTTTTTGTTATTTTACACCCATGATTTTGAAAAAAACACAACACTTTTATTTTTCATTTATCAAACACAATTTTACGTTTGCATATGTTTTTTTTTACTATTTTTCACACTTAGAAATTAACTATTATGAAAATTTTAATGTGCTGATATTTTAAAAACTGTTTTGGTATTTTTAATCCCACTTATGTGAGATTAGTAACTGGTAAGATGAATCCTTCTTAACCTTTGGCTAGTGACCACAACCAATAACAGAGTCACGTCACCAAGGTTACGTCATCTGGCAATAATTCATTTAACAAACATATATAATAGGGGCCCATGAGGGCATCATTGAATAACAGAGGCATACTGCACCAGTAGCGACTTGTTAGGTATGACTTTCACTAAGTACCTCGATGGATGACGAAGGATGTTGTTTTCATGTTTAGTTTAAACATTGTTATTTGGTTGTATTCGGAATAGGCATCCATGAAGTCATTGTTTGTAGAGACATTTAATCCACAAAAGATACAACCAAGAAGCCATTGTTTTCATTGTATCCCGCATTAGATGAGAACAATGACTTTTTGGTTACGATCAATAATTTCACCTATAAGTAATTTTAACATCTCCAAGGTTTGGGATGTAATGAGAAGTCATTGTTTGCAATTTTAATTGGTTTTTCTTATTGGTTGTATCCTTGCATCATGATGTGGGTTCAAACTCTGTTGATTTTTAATCTAACATCTAATATAACAAATCTAAAAAAGTGGATATTACATATTTTTCAAACAAGCCTGCACATATGCCATAACTCATACGCCAATTCGCCTTTTTTTAATTGTATTGTATATTTTTGTTTCATTTTAGAATAAAATATTTTTCCTTTTTTTTTTTAGCTAATAATACATTTTTTTAAATTTTTTATTCAAAGCAACAGATCAACCTATTATAAACTACATCTTAATAGAAATCATCTTTGTTAATCAAAAGAAAGTGAAAAAACTATTTAGTTTTCTATCACAAAAAAAAAAATTAAATGCAGTAAAATAATTTCACGAAACAAAATTTTTCTATCTTTTGTTTAAACTTCATCAATAAGTAATTTTAACATCTCTAATTTTAAAAAGTAAAAATAAAACATCTCTCTTTCTCACCCCACTCCCAAGTTCTATCTCACTCTTTTCCTCTCTCCTTCAATTTTAAAACAAAAATAAAAAATTTCACACACTTTGTGTGTTGTGTGTGAGCATATACTAATATCAATTAAGTGAGTTGTTTAGAGATAACTATTTTAATCCCAACTAATTTATTACAACGTTTTAGTTATAAAAAAAAATCCATTTTTTGGTATCATATGCTTTAGGGATGGGTAAATACCTATTGGTTATGGGTAACCGTGGTTATCCGCCTATTTAAATTTGACGGTTACGGTTATGGGTAACCGTTTAGATAAATAAACGGTTATGGGTATAACCGTTTACCCATGAAATTTAAATGGACGGTTATGGGTATTATCCGAGATTATAAACGGGTACCTATTTAACCGTTTATTTTAATATATGTAAAACTAAATAAAAAAATTTGTTTCTAGCTAAGTTTAGTATCCCGAGACATATTTGGTTATAAAGGGCCATATAATATATATATGCCTCACTTGAGAGAAAAATATAGTTGATAGAACGGGTCAATGTTTAACATATGCGATTGAATGTGCTAAAGCATTAGAGTGTTCGACAATTTTGTTTTAGAGTGTTCGACAATTTTGTTTTGGAGTCTTTTGAAGCTTTGGCCAATTCAAGATAATGATTACCATGAGATTTTAGAAATATATTATTGTCGGTTAATGAGTACCTATATATATATATATAATTGGCCACGAGTTTTCAATAAATATTTGATCCAAAAATTAGAAATCGATTAAATGGCTTGGATCGATGAACATATGTTGATGCGTACTTACATATACATATACATATATATATATACACACATATATACATATATGTATGTATATGTATATGTATACAAGAATATTAATTAACCTACAACCATGCATGATTCTTGTAATAGATTGACCGTCAAATAATTGGGAGACATCACATATATTCATAAATAATATTGCCGTTAATACAAAAATGCATGTTAAATGTACTTATAACGGTATTTAATTGTTAGAAAAAGAAAATTATTATAAATTTCTTTTAATTTTCAAGTTGTTAAAAAAATATGTAGACGGGTAAAAAACAAAGAAAAAAAAGGGGTTAAAAATGGGTTAACGGGTACACGGTTATGGTTAAATGGGTATGCGGTTATGGGTAAATGAGTATGGTTAACCGTTTATAAACGGTTATGGGTATGAATATACCCGTTTATGTAAATACCCAACGGGTAAACGGTTATGCGGGTAAAAGCTTAAACGGTTATGGGTAAATAACATCGGCTGCCCGCCCGTCATAACTGTTGCCCATCCCTATCTCCAATTAATGTAGTGAGTCTGGCAGAATGTTGATTTGGAAGAGTCTTGATTGTGCTAGCCAGATTTATCTTGCTTACTATGCTCGATTAATTTAGCTTTTTCATAAATGATAATTTTAATGAGAGAAAAGTTTAAACGACTCAAACTATAGATGAAGAAAAAATTCTCACTTATTTGTGCAATCTGCTAGATGGGCTGAAGCTAGTTTGAGATTGTTATGACGTTTTAAAACTACTTATGCTGTGCTATAAAAATAAACTGTGAAAAAAAGCAGATAAATATTTGATAAACTATAGTACTAAAAATGCTTCAGTAAAAAACAAAGAGGAGGGTAGGATTGTCAATATGACAATTTTATTAATTGAAATTGTTGACATGCCTCTTATAAAAAAACGTTTTTTTAGAAGTAAGAGTAGAGCTGTTTTTGCTTTTTGTTATTTTACACTATTTTACACACATGATTTTGAAAAAACACAACACAACACTTTTATTTTTCATTTATCAAACACAATTTTACATTTGCATATGTTTTTTTTTTTTACTATTTTTCACACTTACAAATTAACTATTATGAAATTTTTAATGTGCTGATATTTTTAAAACTGTTTTGGTATTTTTAATCCCATTTATGTGAGATTGGTAACCGGTAAGATGAATCCTTCTTAACCTTTGGCTGGTGACAACAACTAATAACAGAGTCACGTCACCAAGGTTACGTCATCTGGCAATAGTTCATTTAACAAACATATATAATTGGGGCCCATGAGGCCAATCATTGAAGAACAGAAGCATACTGCACAAGTAGCGACTTGTTAGGTATGACCTTGTAGCACTAAGTACCTCGATGGATGACGAAGGATGTTGTTGTCATGTTTAGTTTAAACATTTTTATTTGGTTGTATTCGGAATAGGCATCCATGAAGTCATTGTCTGTAGAGACATTTAATCCCCAAAAGATACAACCAAGAAGCCATTGTTCTCATTGTATCCCGCATTAGATGAGAACAATGACTTTATGGTTACGATCAATAATTTTACCTATAAATAATTTTAACATCTCCAAGGTTTGGGATGTAATGAGAAGTCATTGTTTGCAATTTTAATTGGTTTTTTCTATTAGTTGTACTATTGCATCACGATGTGAGTTCGAACTCTGTCGACTCCTAATCTAACATCTAATATAACAAATATAAAAAAATGGATATTACATATTTTTCAAACAAGCCTGTACATATGCCATAACTCATACGCCAATTCGTCTTTTTTTAATTGTATTGTATATTTTTGTTTCATTTTAGAATAATATTTTCCTTTTTTTTTTGTTAATAATATATTTTTTTAATTTTTTTATTCAAAGCAACAGATCAGCCTATTAGAAACTACATCTTAATAGAAATCATCTTTGTTAATCAAGAGAAAGTGAAAAAATTATTTAGTTTTCTATCATAAAAAAAAAATTAAATGCAGTAAAATATTTTCACGAAACAAAATTTTTCTATCTTTTGTTTAAACTTCACCAATAAGTAATTTTAACATCTCTAATTTTAAAAAGTAAAAATAAAACATCTCTCTTTCTCACCTCACTCCCAAGTTCTATCTCACTCTTTCCCTCTCTCCTTCAATTTTAAAACAAAAAAAAAAAAATTTCACACACTTTGTGTGTTGTGTGTGAGCATATACTAATATCAATTAAGTGAGTTGCTTAGAGATAACTATTTTAATCCCAATTAATTTATTTAATATTACGACATTTTAGTTATAAAAAAAAATTCAATTTTTGGTATCATATGTTTTAGTAGTTGACAGTTATGTTTCCATTTTTCTTAATAACATATTGGCTTAATTGTCAAATGATTCATGTATTATAATCATTGGGTCAATTTAGTCCGTGTATTTTTAATTTGACCAATTTAGTCATTGTGTTTATCTCTTTTAGTCAATTAAGGACATTTCATTCATTATCCGTTAAAAAATTCATAAAAAAAATTGTAAGGGATATAATTACCCTTTCTCTCTACAGAAAAATGCAAATTAATGAGAAATAACACATATACGAGAAGAAACTCCCAAACACAATGTTTGTACCATACTTGACCACTCCCGAAACTACTGAGCACCAGTCAACGTTATACCGTCAAGGACCCATAAGAGTTTCCCTCCAACCATAGGCCAATCACAGCGTGACATGTGTCGACATCAGAAGCCAATCATAGCGCGACACGTGTCAACATCAGAAGTCAATCACAACACGACACGTGTCAATGTCAGAATGAAACTAGAAACTCTCTTCTATAAATAGAGATTATTCTCTCACAATATTTCTTAATGTCATTTGTACTAAATCATTCACTAGTACTCACTAAAGGAGAGCTTGAACCTATGTACTTGTGTAAACCCTTTACAATTAATGAGAACTCCTCTACTCCGTAGACGTAGCCAATCTGGGTGAACCACGTACATCTTCTGTTTGCTTCTCTGTCTCTACCCATTTGTATACTTATCCACACTAGTGACCGGAGCAATCTAGCGAAGGTCACAAAGTTAACACTTTCTGTTGTACCAAAGTCCTTACTGATTTTGTGCATTAACACACAAAATCAAATTAACCAAATTAAAAATACAAAGACTAAATTGACCAATGACCCTTTCAACATTTAAGCCTAAAATATTCTTTTGGTACCAGAACGAAATTTAAGTACTCGGAAGAAATCGAACTCGAACTCGAACTCAAATAAAAAAAAAAAAAAAACACTCGAAAAACTGCCGGTGTGAGAGTTTCGTTGGCTGTGATTGCATGCTCCATGGCGCCCTCCAAGCTCGCGATTCTGTCAATTTTTCTTGCCCTTATTTTCTCCCAGATTCGGGCTGACATGAAAGTCCCGGATGAGGAAAACGAGCGACCCTCATTCCCGGTGAAGATAAACGAGCTAGGGAGCCCCGATTCGTGGAGTTCGAAGTTCAAGGCTAAGTTCCACGACTTAGGTTCGTTTCTGTCGTCTTCTGCGAATTATAGGGTCTATTGGATGAAATTTGTGAATTTTCCAAGTGTTTGTGGATTCGATTTTTTCCCTCGGTTTTCTCGCCATTCAAACAGATGTTACTGAAGTTAGAGATCCTTTGGTTTTTCAATTTGATTTTTCAGTTCTATAATTTTAATCAGAGGAATAACGATGCGTAATTGTTTAGTTACTTTGTGAGCAGAAACAACATCGATATCAGTTAAATTTCGATTTCGAGCATTTTAAGTGTTTTTGAGTGCGGTTTGGGTTTTCTTGGCTGACTGTTTGTGTTTCTTTAATGTTTTTTTTTTTTTAAGAAAAAACGGGGAGGCGCTTTTTCGGTGGGAACGCTAAGGAACAAAACAAGAATGAGCAGAGTGAAAATGGAGCCTCTCCAGGTAAGGCATATTTGCATGGAAATTCAGGGATGTAGCTTCAAACAACTTTTACTAAATTCACGTGATTCCTACCAACCACAAATCCTCAAGAAAATTCATTTCTCTGACTGAATTCACATAAACCTCTCAAAATTCATTTCTCAGAGCAATTTGAATCTGAAAATTGCTGAGGAGAAGAGACTTATAGGTAGTTTCGTCGAAACGACGAGATTTACCGTCGTTTCGCGACGCGGCTTAGAAACTTCCGCCACTGCCGGTGACTGTTTGGATCGCGACCTCGTCCATTGTAAAAGTGAACCTGCGGGGAAATCAAATGAGGTTACGCGTCGAGAGGTGATTGGGGTTAGTGCAGTGTGCGGATGAGGTTAGTGTTGTCTAAATCTAATAGGACATTAGGCGCCTGGGTAGGTGTTGAATTTTCAATGGGTCTTCTACTTGTCATTTAGTACTACGATTTAGTGGTATTATCTTCACTTATAAGTGAGATGTTTTAGATTCCATTCTCGTCAAAAATAAATTTAAACCAAATTCGTGGTATTCTCTTCACTTGTAAGTAAGAGATTTAGGTTCGATTATTGCCAAAGATAAATTTAAACCAAATTATTACTAATTCAGTGTAAGACTAAGACCACTCATTCCTCTTTAGTATAAATAATATCGTTTGTTAAAAAAAAAAATTTGGTCGTCCACTCAAAATTGGGCACATTTTGGTTCAAGATGTAAACATTTGTTAAAATATGCTGACGTTGCTGTAGACATCGAAATTTCGTAAATAAATGTTGACCGATAAATCAAAGTGTCAACGCTCATGTATTACATAAATTTTACACGTAGCGTGCGACTCAACGAAAATTGAAATGAGTTGGAAAAGTCATCAAATAGGACACGTGTCAACACCTGGCAGAAACGACTTATTTCATCTGGGATATTATATTCAAAATTAGGCCTTGGAAAATTCTATAAATACAAGCCCATTTCATTCATTTGAGGGAGGAACCAAAATCATTATGCAAAATTCTTGAAGCTCTGAAACTCTGAAACTCCGAAGCCCTCAAGCATCCAGGTTCCCGAAGAATCAAGAAAGCTCTATTCGTTCTTCGTTCATCGTTCTTCCAAGATCAAACCCCAAAGGCCATTTGGATCAACAATCATCCACCAATTCAAGATCAAGCCCCGACGGCCCTTGAAGAAAGCACCATCGTTCATCATCCGTTCATCTAAGATCAAGCCCCAACGACTCTTGGATCAACAAACATCAACAAATCCACACATCCAACCGTTCTTCAAGATCAAGCCCAAAACCCCTTGAAGATCCGTTCATCACTATTCTTCAAGATCAAGCCCAAAAGCCCTTGGAGATCCGTTCATCACTGTTCTTCAAAGATCAAGCCCAAAAGCCCATTTGAAGATCCGTTCAAATACACCTTCAAGATCAAGTCCACGGCCCTTGAAGAACGTTCATCCTTAGATCAAGCCCAACGGCCCTTTGGACCAATCGCACATCCACAAATACACACCTTACGGAGATCGAATCAGAGGATCAAATTTGAGAGAGATTGTAACCCAAAATCATCAAATACAAATATTTGTTTGTGCAAGTTGTTCTTGTCTCTTTCGTTTCAGGAATTTTCTGTGTTCACAAATTGGCACGCCCAGTGGGACCATCTCTACCTCTCATCTCTTTCTCCGTTCAAGAAATCCAAACACACCTCAAAGTCAATGGCATCAAGCAAGGGACAAGCCGTTCTCGCAACCACTAAGGGAAGGATCCTAAGCACTTCTGCCGCAAACAGACAATCCATTGGCACCACAACCGCTCCTCAACATGCCACTTCAAAATTGGTGCCGCTAAAAGAGCAAGGGGAGCATCCAAGGTGTGAGTCTGTCATCAACCTGACCTCGTTGGGGGCACCAAAGCATGATGCTGAGGCACACAAGATGACGTCCCAAAGCAGCCAACGACGTTCTTCGTCAGCATCCTGGATGTCTAAAGGAAAGTCACGTCTATTGGTCGCACAAGTCATGACTATCGGCGTTACCTCCGTTGAAGAACAACTGGCTCAAATGAATGAAGCGATTGCAAGGCTAACACAGATTGTGGAAGAAAAAGACTTGCAAATTGCTGTACTCGTCAGCCGACTGGAGCCACAGGACGGCGAGAACCCCAACCCAGAGAATGATCCACTAAAGAGAAGAGACGACGAATAAGAGGAACCTCAGGTGGAGAAAAACGATGTGAAGCCGGAGCCAGACCAAGCAGCGGCACTCCTTGAAACGAAAGAGACAAGAACAACGTGCACAAACAAATATTTGTATTTGATGATTTTGGGTTACAATCTCTCACAAATTTGATCCTCTGATTCGATCTCCGTAAGGTGTGTATTTGTGGATGTGCGATTGATCCAAAGGGCCGTTGGGCTTGATCTAAGGATGAACGTTCTTCAAGGGCCGTGGACTTGATCTTGAAGGTGGATTTGAGCGGATCTTCAAAGGGGCTTTTGGGCTTGATCTTTGAAGAACAGTGATGACCGGATCTCCAAGGGCTTTTGGGCTTGATCTTGAAGAACAGTGATGAACGGATCTTCAAGGGGTTTTGGGCTTGATCTTGAAGAACCGTTGAATGTGTGGATTTGTTGATGTTTGTTGATCCAAGGGCCGTCGGGGCTTGATCTTGGATGAACGGATGATGAACGATGGTGCTTTCTTCAAGGGTCGTCGGGGCTTGATCTTGAATTGGTGGATGATTGTTGATCCAAAGGGCCGTTGGGGCTTGATATTGGAAGAACGATGAACGAAGAACGAATAGAGCTTTCTTGATTCTTCGGGAACCTGGATGCTTGAGGGCTTCGGAGTTTCAGAGTTTCAGAGCTTCAAGAATTTTGCATAATGATTTTGGTTCCTCCCTCAAATGAATGAAATGGGCTTGTATTTATAGAATTTTCCAAGGCCTAATTTTGAATATAATATCCCAGATGAAATAAGTCGTTTCTGCCAGGTGTTGACACGTGTCCTATTTGATGACTTTTCCAACTCATTTCAATTTTCGTTGAGTCGCACACTACGTGTAAAATTTATGTAATACATGAGCGTTGACACTTTGATTTATCGGTCAACATTTATTTACGAAATTTCGATGTCTACAGTTGCACATATGTCCAATAATATGGTGCCACGTGCAAAAAATATCTAATTTTTAAAAGTATTTGAAGTCTAGCAAAATTTATAAAATATAAAATAAAATAAAAGGGGAATGTCAACTAATATAAAGATAGTAGGTGGGTACAACTTATCAAACAAAACTACCTGAGACAAAAGAATTTTTTACAATGAATCAAAAAAGTAATAATTCCATGGATGATTCTTTTTTGAATCATCTACCACGACTTTTTCAAGCAAAAATCCATTTCAATTATGCTCTTCCAAAAATTGATGATGAGATTTTCGATACCAAATTAAGTTGTTGATTGTATGGCTTCAGAACTCCCTCTTGTAACGTATAATATATCATCTTACTCAAAAATATGTTATCAACAAAGGATTATTTTTTAAGGATAATGTTAGAGAGATTAAATTTGTAGATAAATTTGTAAACTATATATTATGTCACCAATAGGAATAAGCGCGTTTATCGATGCTTAAATCATAATTCAATTATCAACTTACATGTCATTTAGTTTACAAAATTTTATGTATAAATTTATTCTCTCTAACATTACTTTTTTTTTTTTAATTCCTCGTTGAATGTAATAGTCGTCCTCTAACTTTGTCAAGGAAAGACCCAAAAAGTTTTATCTTTTCCAAATCTAATGCAAAGGTCCCGAACAGCTTTCTTGAAAACTTAGTTCGCTCTATTAATCACCAGCATTGTTTTTTTTTTTTTAATGTCAGTATATGTCAAATGGTCAAACAGATGTAAGTACGGCTCACCGAGTTTGTCGAAGGTCTTCCAACAAAAATCTCATCTTCTACCACGACTTTTTGCAGGAAAAATACTTCAATTAAATCTAATGATGTGATTTTTGATGATATTCTATTGCTTGTTCAAGTATGCCATCATTAGAGAATTTCTTTTAAATTCCACTCGTTGAATATAGTAATCGTCCTTTAATTTGGCTAAAGGATGACCTAAAATGTTCATATCTCCAAATTAATGCAAATGTCTTTTAACATCTTTCTTAGAAACTGGGTTCTCTTTATTAATCACTGGCACTACCTTTTCGTTAGTATGTGTCGAACAGTAAAAAAATTGTATGCATGAATCAAGTTTAATAAAGGTCATGCAACCAAAAATCTATCTTCCATCTCGACTTTTTGTTGCAAAAAACAGTTCAATTATGCTCTTTTAGAAACTCACGGTGATACTTTCATGATATTTTTTCGCTGTTTCAACGTTCAAGCATGATATCAACAAATGATTTTTTTTTTGTTATATGTTGTCTTTTCATGGAGGAATTTATATCATCTAGTTGCCCTTCTATTAAAGGAAATATGGGTTAATATAAATATTTTTTTAATAATTATGACCCTATAGTTTGTTTATATATGATAATATTGTAGTAAAAATAAATCCAAAATTTCCACCAAAAATTAATTCAAAATCAAACACCCCAACGAATTTTTACTTCGAAAAGTGGATATTACATATTTCTTTCACACGCCTACACATATGCCAATCAGTCTTTTTTTAATTGCATGATATATTTTTGTTTTAAATTAGGATAAAATATTTTTCGTTTTTTTTGCTAATAATAGTATATTGTTTTCTATATTTTTCGTTTTTTATTCAAAACAACAAATGAAAGAAGTATCCATTTAAACTGAGTTGAAATTAATATTTTAATCCTAACTAATTAATTTTATATTTTGAAATTTTAGTAAAAAAAAACAATTGTTGGTATCATAAACGCTTTATTAGTTGACAGTTATATATCCATTTCCCTTGAGGTAATAAAAGAATGAGGGTAAATTACATAGTAGCCCCTCAAATTTGAAGTCTATTACAATCGCATACATCTTTAAAACATTTCACTTTCATACCTCAAGTACTATTTTATTTCAATTTCATACAACCGTTAAACATTCTGTTAAGTTAACCGTTAAGTGATGACGTGGCAAATATGAGGTCCCCATTTGTGCTGATGTGGCTTACACATTTATGCCACGTGGATAAACACTTAATAAAAAATTACCCACCAGAGCCCATCCCCCCAACACCCACCCCCTTCTCCCAGGACTTAGATTGTCTGCCCTCCCTGTGCCCACCTGTTTTGTGTGGTCACGGTTAAGCCACGTCAACATTTTATATTGTTTTTTTATAAAAATAATAAAACAAAAAGAAATAGTAATATAAAATGTTGACGTGGCTTAACTGTGACCACACAAACAGGAGGGCACGAGGAGGGCACCGAAATGGGAGGGCAGACAATCCAAGTCCCTTTCTCCCATCCCTCATCACCCGAGCCTCCCGCACAACCTTCAATCTCCATCTTGCTCCAGATCCGTCAATCTCCATCCCAGAAGCCAAAAACTGGAAAAGTTCCAAATTTTCCCACACTCAACAGAACACAAAGAAATCCAAACTTTTCCTACCCATTTTCTCTCAATTTCCCTCTAACCAAACACACCATGTTGTCTTTCGAAAGAATATGCAAAGCTTACCCATTCAATTTCAAATCCTCAAAAACCCAGCAAAACTAAAGTATCCAAAATTTTCCCCTCACCTTCTATCATTTTCTCAGCAACCAAACACAACCCAGAATCCGAATTAAAAAAAAAAATCATTCAAATCAAAATTCACCAACAGCAACCCTCAAAAGTGCTCTCCGGACCCTCGTATCAGTCTGCTCCGAAACCTTCATCTGAACTCTCACGACCTCCCAAATCATCCTGGTCCGCTAACTCCTCCCCTGGCTCACTGAGTCACTGCCACTGAGGCTCCTGCTAAACGACGACTTCAAACCCAGCGCCTTTTTGACCCGGCTCACCACCGATGACATGAGCGAAGTTAGAACACTCCGGTCGGTTTTCTCGGACTGTGGGATGTAGGTGAGAGGGTTGGGCTCGGAGATCCGGCAGGTTTCGACTAAGATCTTGTAGACAGTTTCCCGGAGCTTCGAGTCCGAGAGATAAAGGAGCTCAAAATTAGGGATTTGAAGAGAGCAATTACCTTTAGTTGGGTGAGCTTAGGGTTTTTGTATATAAGCACTGCAACTTCAATCGAAGTCTTGAGAGGGTTTGGATTCCGGGTGTGAGATGTGAAGAGGGAGGATTGGGATTATGGGGAGAGATAAGGAAAGAGAGGTGAAGAGAATGTGGGAGATGGAGGTGAACCGGGGGAATGGGTTTCGGGGTTTTTTTAAAATTTTTTTAATAGAATAAATTATTATAATATTTTAAATGCATAAAAATTATTATTTTTGCCATGTGGCACACATTTGGCAGCCAGCGATTCTCTCAATCTTTCTTGCCCTTATTTTCTCCTAGATTGGGGTTGAAACTGGAATCTCGTGGGAGGACAACGAGCAAGACTCTCTAGTCCCCGCAGAGAAACGCGAGAGCCCGTCGAAGGTGGCTTTTTTTTTTGTAAGCTCATGGATAAGATCCACTGTTCATTTCTATATTCTTCTACAAATTCTAGGGTTTATCGGATGAAATTTATGATTTTTCATTGATTCGATATTTTGTTAGGACTCAAATTTCAACCCTAACTCAAACTTAACTACTGCAATCAGTAGCGGAGTCGGAATTTTGGCTCAGGAGGGACAAAAGTCTCACCCTAAAACACAATTCTGATCTAAGAAAAATAAGGATATGCCGTGTCCTAAATACAAACCACCATCTTTTGGGTTTGGTATGACGTTGTTATTGTCATCCTTTTCCTCAACTTAACCCCTATGAGTATTATCATGACTCGGATTCAAAATAAAAGTTCCTTTAAATAAAAGAATGACGGAAAGATTAGGGGAATAGGAAAAAAAAAGTAACAGTATTAAAAGACTTCAAGGAATAAAATAAAAAATGAAGCAAAAAAAAAAAAAAAAACCCCAGCTCTCTCGCATACTTTCTCTCTCTTCCTCTTATGATCACCTGAGTCCCTTAAAACAAACAATGACGCATGTCGATGCAAATTTCTGCCGTTTCTTGCTTTGATGAAAACGAACATGCAAAACAACCAACATCTTTGGTAAAAAACCTACCTCACGCGCCCACAAGATGGGGGGTTAGACCGATGGATCTTCAATGCCTAAGTTAGTTTCTCTGAAAGGAGTATGTGATTAGGGCTTTTAAGGGTAGCAAAAGCTTACAGAATATATATATATATATATATATATATATATATATAAGGGAGTGGTCGGCCACTGTGTTAGGGTTTTTAACCTACAAGTGGCAGCATCCTATTGACCAAGGTGTATTCTCAAGATATTAAATAGAAAATAATATCTTGAGATAATTGTGCAAGTATCCCTAATATCATTAAATAGGGATTACTTACTTGAATGGAGTCAATCTTCAATTATGAATATATTAAAGATAGGATTTGAGTAATTAATCCTTATCTTTAATGCTTTGACTTTTCCTTGCCATTGGTAGGTAATGTACATCCCACATCGCCTAGGGGAGCGGATCATGTAAGCTTTATATGTATATTTCCATCTCTACCTAGCACGAGGCCTTTTGGGAGCTCATTGGCTTCGGGTTCCATCGGAACTTCGAAGTTAAGCGAGTAGCGCGTGAGAGCAATCCCATGATGGATGATCCATTGGGAAGTTCTCAGAAACAAAACCATGAAGGCGTGGTTGGGGCCCAAAGTGGACAATATCGTGCTACGATGGAGTCGTGCTCGGAATGTGGTGGGGGCCTTGGCCGGGATGTGACAATTTGGTATCAGAGCTAATCCCTTGTCGGAAGTGTGCCAACGAGGACGTCGGGCCCCTAAAGGGGGTGGATTGTAACATCCCACATCGCCTAGGGGAGTGAATCATGTAAGCCTTATATGTATATTTTCATCTCTACCTATCATGAGACCTTTTGGGAGCTCCCAGGATGTGGTGAACCCCGGGTTGAGATGTGACAGATTTGGTATCAGAGCCAATCTCTGGGCGGAAGTGTGCCGACGAGGACGTCGGGCTCCTAAGGGGGGTGGAATGTAACATCCCATATCGCCCAGGGGAGTGGATCCTCTAAGCCTTATATGTATATTCTCATCTCTACGCCTTTTGGGAGCTCACTGGTTCTGGGTTCCATCGGAACTCGGAAGTTAAGCGAGTAGCGCACGAGAGCATTCCCATAATGGGTGACCCACTAGGAAGTTTTCGTGTGAGTTCTTATAAACAAAACTGTGAGAGCGTGGTCAAGGTCTAAAACGGACCGTGTTATGGCGGTGGAGCAGGCCTGGGATGTGGTGGACCCCGGGTTGGGATGTGACAGGTAAGCTGGGGCCAGTCAAATTCAGTTGCTTGGACTTTTAGGGAGCTGAGCTGCGCGTGGGAGTATCTAAGAAGCCTGCCCATTTAAATGACAATCTTGTCTTTCTTGAGCAAAAGTCCACGTGTCACCTATAGAAATTTTTGGATTATTTTAGGCTCCACAACGCCGGTTAACTGCATTATATTAAGACGCCGGTTAACTGCATTATATTAAGAGCCACCAATCTCAAATTGAACCCAGAGAAGGAATAAGAAAAAGATTTTTGTTGGGGCTCTAATACCTTGAAAAATCTTTGGAAATTAAAGGGATAACTCCCATTTTTTCTGCGTGAAAAAAATGTCAGGGTAGGCCCAAGATCATATTGGTCCTTCATGGCTCCGCCCCTGACTGCAATGGAAGAAGTGGGAAGGAAGGAAGAGAGGAGCAATAATTTTGGTATTTGATTTCTTCTGTAAAAGTAAAAACTGATATGTTTACATTTCTGGGAGCTAGCCTCCTTTTATACAGCACCATAATTTTTAATGTCAGTTGGCATGTTTAACAACCCTTAACAATCAAACTAAAGAATAAAACCTTCAATTAACTGTCTAATTGGTGATTAAGGCAATCACAAATCAATTCTAATTTGAGTGAGTAATGCTAAAGAGATCAAATTTCTAAACCAAATGATGTGAATGTTGATAATTGGACTATTACTCAAGTATTAATTAACGTACTTATTTCCTATTGGTGACATATCATTTGATTTGCAAATTTTGTTTAAAAATTAACATTATCCATTTTGAGTTATAACATTTTTTCCCTCGGTTTTCTCGCCATCCAAACATAGTTACTAAAGTGGCAGTTCCTTTGGTTTTTCAATTGGGAAGTGTTTGTAATGCTTTCCATTTATAATTTTGTGTTTATGTTTTAGAATCTAAGTAATACTGCCAATTAGCTGAGGTCTGATGCTTACTTGTACAGCTTTGATTTTTCAGTTTTATAATTTTAATCAGACCAATAAAGATGCTTAATTGTTTAGTTATTTTGGGAGTAGAAACAACATGGATATTTGTCGAATGTCGATTTCGAGCAGTTTAAAGTGTTTTTGAGTGCTGTTTGGGTTTTCCAGGCTGACGGTTTGTGTTTCTTTGATGTTGAGCTTATAGAAGAGAGGGAGAAGGTAATTCAAGGGCTTACGGAAGCGGGGGATCAAATAATTCAAGAGCTTAGAGAAGAGGGGGGTAAAGTAATTCAAGAGATGTTGGATAGCATTATTCAAGAGATGTCGGGTAGCATTTCTTCGTTGCCGACTGAAATCAAGTTTCTCCAGGTTAGGCATATTTGCACGAAATGCCAGAAAACCAATTACCCAATCTTTCTCGAATGACAGTTTGTTTATCCGCATTTTGATTTCTATCTATGTTTCTGTATTTTAGAAAAACGGGTCATTAGTTGAGCAGCAGGTTAGGAAGGCTCATGCACGTGCTGATGAACTAGAGAAGAAGGTTAGACGCAATGAAGTGGACTATTTTAGCATGTGAAAACCACTGCATTCTCTTGTTGCCAAAAAAAGAGAATACTGCTGAGTTGTCAATTCATTCTCCTATGCAGGTTAATGAACTTGAACAGAAATTACAATCGCAACGTAAGGAGAAAGAGGAATTGGAATCCTGGACAAATGAAGCTGAGGAGAAGATTGATGATTTGCTTTCAGAAATAGAGAATGTAAGTTATTTTTTGTCATTTGGAAGAAAAGTTATTTTGTGGCGGAATGTGCTCATAGTGAAAGTCCTTAGTGATTCTGATAATAAGAACAGAACATTGTTTTGCATTGGATTTAAGGGTTAAGTAAAGAATGATAGTAAGGGAATAAAAAGGATGCTAAAAGTTGTCTTATTTAACTCAACTTTGTCAATCAATCATTGTTCTGTTTTGGTTTGTATTTTTGTGATTCTGTAGATATTGTCAATTCATTTTATGTTATTTTTGTGATGAGTCCTTTATTCGCTTCTTCATAAATAAGTTTTTGATGTGAATGTCTTTTGTATAGAATGTAAGTTGACATCCTTCTTTTGCACCAATGTTGACACAATTGGGGTGCTGTGGTGTTTTTTTTATTACTATCTTGACCTCCATACAATGCTGAACAAAAAAGTCTACTTCTTTTTTCTTTTCCTTTCATATCATTTTATACTAGTAGTTGTAATTCTACTTGGAATTTTGCTTAATGTTTATCCCGTGGGGATAGTGGAATGATGTCTGATGATATTTTTACAGATTGGGAAGACTAATGATGAGCAGGAGACCAAAATCCGTAAAACTGAGCATGCTCTTGAAGTTAAAGTGGCTGAGGTAATTTTTAAGTCTCTGCGGAAGCGCATTTTTCTAGATTGGGGTTGGTGCTTATGCTCAGTCTATGTTTCTAAATTTGTCTTCAGGTGGAAATGTGGAAGGCGAAATTTGAAGCTACTCTAAAAGCAAAAGTGTTAAATGAGGTATTAAGTTGCATGAATTCTGTCGCTCTCTCATTTTAACCGTCTCCCAATGTTTGTTTATATTCTTTCTGAGGTTGTTGTAAATTCAGAAAAATCAGCTAAGTGAGTTTCTTAAGAACGTAGAATTTGAAAGTTTTTGTTTAAGGTTGTCATAGAATTAAGGTTCACTCTATACAGGTTAACGAACTTGAAAAGGAATTGCAATCGCAACGTAATGAGAAAGGGGACTTGAAAGACCGGGTAAATGAAGCTGAGAAGAAGATTGATGATTTGCTTTCAAAAATAGAGAATGTGAGTTTTTTTTGTTGTCATTTTAACTATCTCCGAATGTTTGTTTATATTCTTTCTGAGGTAGTTGTAAATTCAGAAAAATCAGCCAAGTGAGTTTCTTAAGAACATAGAATTTGAAAGTTTTTGTTTAAGGTTGTCATAGAATTAAGGTTCATTCTATACAGGTTAACGAACTTGAAAAGGAATTGCAATTGCAACGTAATGAGAAAGGGGACTTGAAAGACCGGGTAAATGAAGCTGAGAAGAAGATGGATGATTTGCTTTCAAAATTAGAGAATGTGAGTTTTTTTTTTGTTGTCATTTTAACCGTCTCCCAATGTTTGTTTATCTTCTTTCTGAGGTAGTTCTAAATTCAGAAAACTCAGCCAAAGTGAGTTTCTTAAGAACATAGAATTTGAAGGTTTTTGTTTGAGCTTGTCATAGAATTAAGGTTCATTCTATGCAGGTTAACGAACTTGAAAAGGAATTACAATCGCAACGTAATGAGAAAAGGGACTTGAAAGACCGGGTAAATGAAAATGAGAAGAAGATGGATGATTTGCTTTCAAAAATAGAGAATGTGAGGGTTTTTTTTTTTTTTTTTTGTCATTTTAACTGTCTCCCAATGTTTGTTTATAGTCTTTCTGAGGTAGTTGTAAATTCAGAAAAATCAGCCAAGTGAGTTTCTTAAGAACATAGAATTTGAAGGTTTTTGTTTATCCTTGTCATAGAATTAAGGTTTATCCTATGCAGGTTAACGAACTTGAAAAAGAATTACAATCGCAACATAATGAGAAAAGGGACTTGAAAGACCGGGTAAATGAAGCTGAGAAGAAGATCGATGATTTGCTTTCAAAAATAGAGAATGTGAGTTTTTTTTTTTTGTCATTTTAACCGTCTCCCAATGTTTGTTTATCTTCTTTCTGAGGTAGTTCTAAATTCAGAAAACTCGGCCAAAATTTGAAGGTTTTTGTTTGAGCTTGTCATAGAATTAAGGTTCATTCTATGCAGGTTAACGAACTTGAAAAAGAATTACAAATGCAACATAATGAGAAAGGGGACTTGAAAGACCAGGTAAATGAAGTTGAGAAGATGGATGATTTGCTTTCAAAAATAGAGAATGTGAGTTTTTTTTATTGTCATTTTAATTGTCTCCCAATGTTTGTTTATAGTCTTTCTGAGGTAGTTGTAAATTCTATAAAAATCAGCCAAGTGAGTTTCTTAAGAACATAGAATTTGAAGGTTTTTGTTTATGCTTGTCATATAATTAAGGTTCATTCTATGCAGGTTAACGAACTTGAAAAGGAATTACAATTGCAACGTAATGAGAAAAGGGACTTGAAAGACAGGGTAAATGAAGCTGAGAAAAAGATCGATGATTTGTTTTCAAAAATAGAGAATGTGAGTATTTTTTCGTCTCCCAATGTTTGTTTATCTTCTTTCTGAAGTAGTTCTAAATTCAAAAAACTCAGCTGAGTTTTTTAAGAACATAGAATTTGAAGGTTTATGTTTGAGCTTGTCATAGAATTAAGGTTCATTCTATGCAGGTTAACGAACTTGAAAAGGAATTACAATCGCAACGTAATGAGAAAGGGGACTTGAAAGACCGGGTAAATGAAGCTGAGAAGAAGATGGATGATTTGCTTTCAAAAATAGAGAACGTGAGTTTTTTTTTTTTTGTCATTTTAACTGTCTTCCAATGTTTGTCTATATTCTTTCTGAGGTAGACGTAAATTAAAAAAAATCCGTCAAATGAGTTTCTTAAGAACATGGAATTTGAAGGTGTTGTTTAAGCTTGTCATAGAATTAAGGTTCTTTAAAGTTCATTTTGCAATCGTCTTCAGTAATTTAGATGACTCATGCGTCAATGGTTGAATTGGAATCTGAAAGTGATGCGAAAGCTTTGGTTTGCTTATTTTTTTTCAATTCGCACATATGCTTTTCTTTTTTCTGGTCTCTATATATCATATGGTTACACACATCTTTCCTATATGTTATATATGGTATTCGAAGTAGTGTGGTGATTAGATTCAGAAGGTATTTTTTTTTTTTTTTTGGTCAATTGATTCAGAAGGTATTACAATTAATTTCTGTATGGTCACTTGAAGAACCTGACACCTCACTCCCACAACCTTTTCTTTTACAAGTGTGTGCTTAATTTACTGAGTATTGTTGTCCTTCTATAACTGACGAGGTCTTTCAAATTTGTTCAGGCTCTGGAGAAAAAAGCCCAAGCTGAAAAGTGGGCTGAACCCCATGTCGAAACAACAAAAACTGTAAGCTAGGTTAATTTAATTTATTTTCAATTTCCACGTTTGTGTAACAATGTAGAGCTTTCCACCATTACACTAAGTGAGAACCTGAAATTAATGGTGTTTCTGTTTTCGACGTCTCTAGCTATAAAATTGTTCCTTGGCTTTAATAGTGTTAGGCAGGATACAGTCACACACATGCATGCTAGTGTATATACATGTGTGTTAGTATACTCGTATGTGTGTATGAATGCTAGTATGTTCTATTCAGTTGTGCTTTATGCCTTGCTTATAAGAAGTGGTTTGCCTTTCTCACTAAACTTTATTATCCCCCTTTTCATGTCTGTCCTGTTGAAGAAATGGATCCCGGCAATAAAGGAACAATGGGTGGTGGTGAAGGATACTGTTGAACTTCATGTGATATCGTTAAGTAATAAAAGTATTGAAGTTTATGAGGTTTCAAAGACTACATTAGCTCCACATGTTATAAAAGCACAAGAAGTAGTTGATATTTATTTTCAGGTATCATGTATACATTTCATTAGACAAAGAAGTTGGTCCATTCATGTTGCCTACATGCATCCTACGGCTGTATTTTTGGATGACAGGAAGCAAAAAAGTTCAGCAAGCCATATGTTGATCAGCTGACCACTGTGACAAAACCTCATGTCGATAAGGCAGTTATTGCCTACGAGAAGTTTCTCAAATCTGCATCAACATACCATCATCAGGTATCAGCATCAATTTGAAATAACCTCCATTCATTATGCTACTGTTAGATACAAATTATTTCAATGGTTGATTGCTGCAAGTTCGTTTATTATTCCTTTGTTTTCCATTTTCTTTTTCTTCTCCATTTCTTGACGATAATTATGAACTGCTCCGACCAATCAATTCATCGTAACATAAGATGACATACAGTCTTCAGTTCATATGTTACTTCTTGTTGAAGACTGTTACTGCATGTTGTGAAGGAATTACGGTTTCTTTTCTTTTTCTTTTGATGTCCTTGCCATGGTGGATGCACCCGTAGCTTAAGCCATTCCCCGAACCAGCTTTAGTAGTATATTAAATTTTGTAATCAATATTTCTTCAAGGTTCAAGGGACAGTAAAAGATTTGCTGAAGAGGCATGAACTGACAAGACCTCTTGCTACAAAGGAGTTGGAGTGGTTTGCGGTACGTGTAATGAAATCAATCTTCTTGCATTTCTTTGTTTGTTCTGTTTTCTTTCTTTGAATTTTATGTTTGATCCCCTTATTTAGTCGCAATTAAAATGTTGCAGGCCTCGGCTTTGGTGGCCCTGCTCATCATAATTCAGTTCAGAATTTTCTCCTCACTTTTCTGGTTAGTTACTTATACGTGCTCATGCCTGCACACCGCATTTTCTAAACGAAAAGTAACCCTAACATATTTCTGTTTGCTGATTACGACCTTGTGCATCGTTATGCAGTACAAAGACTAAAAAACCTGTTCCAGGTACCAACCATGCGCGTCGTAAGGCTAAAAGGTGCCATCCAGAGAAGTAAGCTGCTACTGGCTTTGTTTAGATGTCCTTTTTCCGTGCATGATTCAATCGTCTGTGTAAAATGTTAGAAACTGTGATGCACTGGTTAAACGTTAAGATAAGTCTAGGAGTTGGTGGCGGTGGGCGGCTTTTACTTATGTTGTTGAAGGGTGTATTTTAGTTTATCTTTTTAGTGTATTTGGAATAAAAGCTGACAAACTACATATCAATATTATTATATATAAGTGGGGTTACCATCATAAATAGTTTTTGAATTTACATCATTTGTTATTTGATCTTTGAATTTCAAAATCGATTTTTGAAATTAACTAGCGCACATTAATTTGATTCATAATGTTAATTTTTACTAAATTTTCTGATGACATGTTCAATAATTTGGTGCCATGTGCATTATACAAAAAATATTTAAAATTGTTTGAAGTTCAAAAATTAAAAAGTATAAAAGTTTACAACCATAAAATAAAAATAAAGGGGAATGTTAACTGATATAAAGATAGTAGGTGGGTACAAATTATCAAACAAAAGTACCCAAGACAAAATCATTTTCACAATAATAAAAAGGTAATAATTCCGTGGCACTTTAATGATAATGATCTTAGATGATTCCTTTATTTAATCATCTACCCCGACTTTTTCAAGCAAAAGTATTTCAATATACGCCCGTTAAAAAATTGACGGTGAGATTTTTGATGATATTCTATTGCTCTTTCAAAGTTTCAAACCTGCCATCACCTTTTTTGAATTCCACCCGTTGAATAAAATAGTCCTGTAACTTTGTCAAGGGATGATCTAAAAAGTTTATCTTTTTAATCTGATGCAAAGGCCGCTAACATGTTTCTAGAAAACTTGGTTCGCTTTGTTAATCACCAGTATTGTCCTTTTGTTAGTTAGAGTTAAATGGTCAAAAGAATGTATGTATGACTCGGCAAATTGAAGGTCTTATAACAAAAAACTTATTTCTACCTCGACTTTTTGCAACAAAAAATATTTCAATTTATGCTTTTTCGAAAACTCATGATGGCATATTTGATGATATTCTATGCTATTTCAAACATGCCATCAACAGAGTATAAATTTTGAATTCCACTCGTTGAATATAATAATCGTCCTCTAATTTAGTTAAAGGATGACCTAAAATATTTATCTTTCTAAATTAAATGCAAATGTCGGTAACATAGTTTTGGGAAATTTGTTTCTCTTTATAAATCGTTGGCACGACCTTTTCGGTAGTACGTTGCAAATCAACTAGCTTAGCGAAGGTCTTGGAACAAAAATCCTATCTTATATCCCAACTTTTTACAGCAAAAAACACTTCAATTACGCTCTTTCAGAAATTGACGATGATACTTTTCATGGTATTCTTTTGCTATATCAAGCATGACATCAACAAAGGATTTCCTTGTTTTTCGTATTCAATGTCGCGTTTATATGTTTTCTTTTCATTGAGGATCGTCTATTTGTCTTTATGTTAAAGGAAATTTAGATTAATATAAATATTTTTTTAAATAATTATGATCTTGTAGTTTGTTCGTATCTAATAATGTTTTGTAATAAAAATAGTTTCCACTTGAAAAAAGTCAAAATTAAACAACTCAACGAATTTTTACTTGTATAAAAATGAAAACTACTCATCTCTTTCAAACACAAAATATTACACATCCTAATAACAATCTATGTTTTTAGAGATCTAAAAGCCCCATATTTTTATTAGTACCAAAAATATATAATTACTAAAAAAAACCCAATTAGCATATGCGTAGGCGTGTACCATGAGCTAATATTCTGTTTGTAAATTCAAAGTAACAAATGAAAGTAATAGCCACTAAATAGGGTTGATTTGAAATTACCGTTTTCTTAAAAAAAAATGTTGGCAAATTTCTTTCTAATTAATTAATTTAATATTTTGAGATTTTACTTTAAAAAAAAAATTTGGTATCATGAATTAGTTGACAGTTATATTCATTTTCGTTTTTTTTATTTTTGGTACCAAAAGGGTATTTAATATTTGTAGTCGGAAGAAATCAAACTCGAACTAAAAAAACACTGGAAAAACTGTCGCTGTGAGAGTTTCGTTGGCCGTGATTGCATGCTCCCATGGCGGCCTCCAAGCTCGCGATTCTCTCAATCTTTCTTGCCCTTATTTTCTCCCAGATTCGGGCTGACGCTTCAGTCCCGGCGGAGGAAGACGAGCCAGTGAAGCTCCCCCGATCGGACGGCCCCGATTCGTCCGCTCTGAAGATCGAGTTGGATCAGCTCAGGGCTAAGATCCACTCCCTAGGTTCGTTTCTATCGTCTTCTGCGAATTCTAAGGTTTATTGGACGAAATTTGTGATTTTTCAAGTGTTTGTGGATTCGATTTTTTCCCTCGGTTTTCTCGCCATCCAAACAGATTTGACTGAATTTACAGATCCTTTTTTTTTTCACTTGGGAAGTGTTTTAATTTCTTTCCATGTATAATTTTGTGTTTCTGTTTTGGAATCCAAGTAATACTGCCAATTAGCTGACTCTGGTGCTTACTTGTAAAGCTTTGAGTTTTCAGTTTTTATAATTTTAATCAGAGCAATAAAGATGCTTAATTGTTTAGTTACTTTGTGAGTAGAAACAACATCGATGTTAGTTAAATTTCAATTTCGAGCATTTTTAAGTGTTTTTTAGTGCTGTTTGGGTTTTCCTGGCTGACGGTTTGTGTTTCTTTAATGTTCAAGAATTCGATGTCGGTGAGAAGATTAAGGAACTAAAAAAGAAGAATGAGCTTATAGAAGAGAAGGAGAAAGTAATCCAAAAGAACTCGGATAGCATTTCTTCGTTGCAGAGTGAAATTGATTCTCTCCAGGTTAGGCACATTTGCATGAAATGCCAGAAAACCAATTACCCAATCTGTTTTTTCGAATGATGGTTTGTTTATCTGCACATTGATTTCTATCTATGTTTCTGTATATTAGAAAAAAGGGTCATTAGATGCTGAGCTTGGGAAGGCTCATGCACGTGCTGGTGAACTAGAGAAAAAGGTGAGATACGACGAAATGGACTATTTTAGTCTGTGAAAACCACTACATTCTTGTTACCGAAAAAAGAGAACCCCACTGAATTTTCATTTCATTCTCCTATGCAGGTTAATGAACTTAAAAAGGAATTGCAATCGCAACGTAATGAGAAAGAGGGCTTGGAAGCCCGGGCGAATGAAGCTGAGAAGAAGGTCGATGTTTTGCTTTTGAAAATAGAGAATGTGAGTTGTTATTTCTCATTTGGAAGAAAAGTTATGTTGTTGCTGAATGTGCTCATATTGGAAGTCCTTAGTGATTCTGATTATAAGAGAACAGAACATTGTTTTGCATTGGATTTAAGTGTTAGGTAAAGAATGATAGTCATGGATGCTAAAAGTTGTCTTATTTAACTCAACACTGTCAATAACTTGCTGTTTTGTTTTGGTTTGTATTTTTTTTATTCTGTGGATATTGTTAATTAGAGGTCGCACTTGGTGCGATGGCAAGTGCCTTCGCCCATGAGCGGTAGGTCTCGGGTTCGAGACTTGGGAGCAGCCTCTCCATAAATGGGGGTAAGGCTAGCCGACATTCACCTCTCCTAGACCTTGCGTAAAGCGGGAGCCTTGTGCACTGGGTACGACCTTTTTGTGGATATTGTTAATTCGTTTCATGTCCTTTTTGTGATGAGTCCTCTGTCTGTTTCCCCAGAAATAAGTGTGTTGATGTGAATGTCTTTTGTATAGAATGTAAACTGCTGGTGGGCAAAACAATGTTGTTAGTTTACATACTTCTTTAGCACCAATGCAGACACAATTGGGTGCTGTGGTCTATTTTGTATTACTATCTTTACTTCTATAGAATGCTGAACAAAAAAGTCTGCTTCTTTTTTCTTTTTCTTTTATATCATTTTAAACTAGTTCTAATGCTACTTGAATTTTGCTTAATGTTACCCCGTGGGGATAATAGAATGATGTCTGGTGATCTTTTTACAGATTGAGAAGACTAATGATGAGCAGAAGACCAAAATCCGTAAAACTGAGCGTGCTCTTAAAGTGGCTGAGGTAATTTTTTAGTCTCTGCGGAAGCGCATTTTTCTAGATGGGGGTTGGTGCTTATGCTCAGTCTATGTTTCTAAATTTGTCTTCAGGAGGAAATGTTGAAGGCAAAGTTTGAAGCTACTCTAAAAGCAAAAGAGTTAAATGAGGTATTAAGTTGCATGAATTCTCTCTCTCATTTTAACTGTCTCCCAATGTTTGTCTATATTCTTTCTATGGTAGTTGTAACCTGAAAGTGTTGCAAAAGCTTGGTTTGCTTATTTTTTTTCAATCCATACATCTTTCCCTTATGTTATACATGATATTCAAAGTAGTGTGGTGATTAGATTTTGATTGCGAGCCCTAAAGGATATATTTTTATTTATTTATTTATTTTTGTATCAGGTGCATGGTGCATGGATTCCACCATGGCTTGCTGTACATTTTATGCAGTGTCAGGTAAACTTAGTGTATTTTACTGTTGTAAAGAAAATTTTCCTTTTCAAGGAATTGAAGTTATTATCAACTTGCAGTCCTTTCTAGAGAGACACTGGAATGTGCATGGAAAACCTGCAGTGGATATTGCTGTTCAGAAGGTATTACAACTAATTGCTGTATGGTCGCTTGAAGAATCTGATACGTTACTCCTACAATTTTCTCTTTTACAAGTTTATGCTTAATTTACTGAGTATTATTATCCTTCAATAACTGACGAGGACCTTCATATTTGTTCAGGCTCTGGAGAAAAAAGCCCAGGCTGAAAAGTGGGCTGAACCCCATGTGGAAACATTAAAAACTGTAAGCTAGGTTAATTTATTTTATTTTCAATTTCCACTTTTGTGTAACAATGTAGAATTTTGCATCATTACACTGTGACCTGAAATTGATGGTGTTGCTGTTTCCGATGTCTCTAGCTATAAAATTGTTCCATGGTGTTAATAATGTTGGGCAGGATACAGTCACACACATGCATGCTAGTATGTATACATGTATGTTAGTATGCATGTATGTATGTATGGATGCTAGTATGTTCTCCCATTCTGTTGTGGTTTATGCCTTGTTTATAAGAAATGGTTTGCCTTTCTCACTAAACTTTATTATCCCCCCTTTTCATGTCTGTTCTATTGAAGAAATGGATCCCGGCAATCAAGGAACAATGGGAGGTGGTGAAGGATACTGTTGAACCTCATGTGAAATCGTTAAGTACAAAAACTTTTGAAGTTTA